GGAGTTACGCAGCAACAGTGACACTGACTGAAGAGAGGCCGATCTAGATGTATAAATAGCACAGCAGGCCAGAGGGAAAAAAAATTGCCGATAAGATTTTGAAGTAAATCATCTCTGTCGGTGGCAGGATTTGTCATCTTAAGGCTTTTGATACCTTTAGTTGTGCTCTGCTTCCTGGTAGTAAAAGTCATTTTGTGGTGGAGTCCTGGACCACGATATCCAGCAACACCCTGGTGTATGTTTTGATAGAAGGAAAACGCAGGACTCTCAGAGAATCTCTGCACAAAACTGTGCAAACGCCACAAAAAAGGTCATTCATCCTCGTTGTTGCCAGTTATTGGGATCAAATCAAATCAAATCAAAGTGGTAAAGCACATCTAAGAAAAGAATAGCATCATTGTTTAAGATGCAAAAGTCTGCCCAGAAAGTTTGTTTCAGTGTTTTGATGTAGGAAAAATATATTACTTCAGCAGAGGAGTTTATTTAAGTTTCCAAAATCATCCTCTCAATCATCTGTGCTTCTCAGACTCAGCACCACACATACGTTTACATCTACTTATGTTGGTAAATTTACTGGTACTTATAAAGTGCTTTTCTACATGATTTTGAGCACTCAGAGTGATTTTTTGTACAAGCTCACCATGCAGTCACATGCACATCCATAGTGCTTTTGTCTATACCTTCACACACACCCTCACACATCCATCGATGCATCAGGGGCAACTCGGGGCTCAGTGTCTTGCCCAAGGATACTTTCGTTGGGTTTTGTTATTCGTACCTGTGTTGGAAGTAAGGAGGATCAAAAAGATAAGATTTGAATATAGATGGTGGTTTGAAAATGTTTAGTTATGAGATGCTGGGTACACCAGGAAAATGGTGTTGATGGTGAAACTGCCAGCAGAGGGGGAAGAGGACAGAAAAAGTGGTTTAAAGATGAGGTAAGAGAGGATGTACAGGAGGCTAGCATGACAGAGGAAGATGAAGATGAAAAAGATAGAAGGAGATGAAAACCACCCAAGAGGAGCAAGTTGAAAGAAGAGGTTATGACATGAATGTAAAATAATAATTTCGTTAAGGCCTCGGCACAGAGAGCTGTGATTATGGTTGGCTCAGTGGTTAGCATTAAACAGTCATTTGACAACACTGAGCGAATAGCTTTGCAAAAGATAAAATAGTAACAGAAAAGGGAAAGAAAGTTGAAACACACAAACAGTTTGTGCATTCCTCTTATACACAAACAGTGCATCAGCAGGATCAGGCACTAAGCCCTACAGCCTCTGGGGTCTTGTCTTAAAGCATGAAAAGCACAGGTACTTTTTTACCCAAAAAAGATGAAAAGGAACATTTTTTTTAAAGGTCGCTGCACAGACAAGTGCAACTTGTATGTGAATGCACTCATGAAGACATGCACATGTATGACACTTCCTGAAAAGGAGTTACAGGTGTGACGGGTAGCTGCAGCTGATTGACATCTG